TGACGGGGAGTTCGAACCCGAGACCCTCAGATTGCGAGTCGAACGCCCTAACTACCTGGCCATGCCGGGCCAAATATATTTCAAAAATTACTTTCGATAGTTTCCCCATCCTAAGAATTGAACAATTGGCTGACTCTTACAGCATACGTGGTTCACCTGAATGTTATTTAGATGGTGTAATATATATCTTTTAATACCCATGAATGGTCTCATGCACAATAATCGCACGACACTGAGCTTTGCAACCATCTTGTCGTTTTTTCTCTCTCTTGCAGCAGCATGTAAATTTTATTCAAATATTTATAGTTCATGACGTTTAGTGGGCATTTTGTAAACAACAACCTTCATTGCCAAGACACAATGCCCTGCGTTTGTTTTCTAAGTATACAAGTTAAAGATAATTAAACATTTCAGCAAGAATTAGTTTTGGGTTGTTTTTTATTAAGCACAAACACGCAAAATGTACTACCTGTGATGTGCTCACTGCGAGTATCGAAACCCGATGTTTAGCGTTATACGCCCTCGGAATTTCCCTTGAATCACGTAATAGTAATATCTTAATATCTTTCGTTCGCATTTCTTTACTAGTTAGGTAAAGCACTGTTAATACAGACAGATACGGTGTTATAAAATAATTCCACCGGCATGATAAATTATGAAGTAACTTCAGGTATGTAATATATTAGTATATATGAGCAGTAACGGCAGTTTTAAATATAAAGTTATTTATTGATATATGATACTCATGGTAGTGTCTACTTTATTTAGAAGCTAAAAATTGGCATAAATTTATGCTTCCATAGGTAGTAACAAAGAAAACGATAAATTTATGTATACTTTGTGTCCACTAAATTAAGGCACTGTGACTTCCTTATGGATCATCTTTTCGATCTTCTCTTTAAATTTTATCTTATGTTTTCACTGAAGTCATAAATAAATTTCTCAGCTTACTATGGCTGGAATTTTGTTAGTTAAGGTGTTTCAACTTTTTTTTTTCTGCTTGTAGTTTATAGCATATGTTTTTGGTCTACTAAAGTGTGAATTGGTCATCTAACTGCAAATGTTCCAGTCAGCCTAACTTTTATTTATCTTTCTGTATTTGTTTAATTTCTAACTTCAGCATCTTGAGAACCATTTCTATCAAGATTTTTTAATTTCATTCTCGATACGTACTACAAACACATTGTTATCAGTAATTGTTTGAACAACAGTTAACATACGTTTCCCATAACTCTAGAGATATATATAAAATATGAGTTATCAGTTCATACTCGTGCATAAAATGAAAGTTTTTTGTTGTTTTTCAAAATGGAGTCCAAGTAATATTCCATCTTCATCCTGGTGGAGTTAATATATAACTGTTCTAAAGTAAAATTAAAATTTTTCACTTTATTTAAGAGATATTATGTGAACACAGTTGAAAGTATGTTAGATGTCATTGATCAGTAATTCTACAGTGCAAATGATCTTTACATATTATATATTGTAGTTTATTTATAACCTAGTTCTTATTCTCGGGGCCCCTTAGTGGCACAGCGACATGTTTGCGGAATTACAACGCTAGAATCCAGGTTTCGATACCCGTGGTGTGCAGAGCACAGATAACCCATTGTGTAGCTTTGTGCTTAGCTTCAAACAAGCAAACTTATTCTCGGAATTGTGGTTCTACTCCAGTTTGGAAATACATTAGAGTAATCATTCTGTATAAAGTTTTCGATAAATTTTGCGAATTTTATTTTTATGAGTAGACATCTAAGTACTGCTGCTGTGGTTGGCATTCAGTTTTACTTTCATTATTTACTTATTATTCATTGTATTATAGTTTAAGTTTGTCACTTCATTTTCAGGCTTCTCGAGGTTATGGGAACAAATATTTTTCATATATTATTATTATTATCGAGTATATAAAAACATTTGCCAGTAAAACCATGAATATTTAATAGCCACTTTGGTACCGTAATTTTTCAGCTGGACTTTCGATTCTAATTTTCGTAATAACTTCTAACATTAAACAGAATCAGATTTTGAAATATTAGTTTTAATATAATATACAATATCCAACATTCCAGAATTTAAAAAATGGAGTATTATATTTGTGTTTTAGTACAGCATAGTAAGCTCATGTAACATATCCATAACTGACTCACAGAATACTTCATTTTTGTTTGCTTCGTCCACATGTAGAGATGAAAAGCACAGAAAATGACTATTGATCCAGTGTGTCTCTCAGACATCATGTACGAGTGCAGTGAAAAGTAATTCCAAGTTCCAAACGTGAATACGTATTCGACTTTATTTATTTCAAACAAAGGAGTAAGATTCAATTGGTAGAGAACATGAAGGAATAAAGTATGTGTAATGTTATTGAGACGATGGAAACCACGATAATTAATTTATTTTGTTTCTTTTCAGTTCAGTTAATAAAGTATCATAACTGCTTTGTAATTCGAGTATTATAATAACATTTCATAATATAACACTGCATTATTCCTATTTTAGCGCTAGTTTATTATTTCTTTTTATTGTGATGGCTGATAGATTAAGTGGATTAGAAGCCATTTAAGTATCTGATAATACTCGTGTATAAAGTATAAGTTAATTAACACCATCATTATCATCATCTACACAAGTGCTTTAATAGTAGATTTATATATCTGATCTGCTTGTGGTTAAAAACCAAGTATCATTTAATTCAACACTCTGATATTTGATCTTTTCTGCTATATTCTTTTAACATTATCCAGCCCTCACTGCTTCTTAACTTATATAAATATGTTTGTAGCTAGCAAACTGCAAGCTACAAAATACACCATGTAAACATAAATATGAATAATTATTGAACATAACACGTAAAGTAGTATTATTTTAACAAACTAAAGTAAAAAACATAACTAAAACAGTTTTGTAATATGTTTTATACAAGTATTTAATGTATTGATTGGACATAATTTGTAATAATATTCAAGCAAAGGGTTAAAAATATTATCTGCCTTTTTGTGGCATTTCTTCAAGCTGTTAAAGTTTTATTGGGCTACTCTTTTACCAACGAATAGTGGGATTGACCGACACATTATAACGCCCCCACGGCTGAAAGGGCGAGCATGTTTGGTGTGACGGGGACTCGAACCCGTGACCCTCAGATCGGGAGTCGAGTGCCTTAACTACCTGGCCATGCCGGGCCACTTGTGAGTCGGCGTCTACTTCAAATTCTGATGAACATCACTTGGCTAACACTTTTTTTTCTCAAATAGCGATTTCAACAATTTCCTTGTACCTTCAAATTCTATCACTCTGTAGTTACATGTATTTGTTATTCGTTTTGGAAATTACTAAAAATAAACATAAAGAAGATGGTTGACTTAGTACCATGAATATGTTCGGGCTTAAAACATGCACACAAACTAAATCTACAAAATATGATGAACCGAATACATTTTACGCTAAAATGTATATTTTATTTCTGCAATATGCGGAACAATTTTTAATATCATAAAAAGTCCATTATGTAGTTGAACTAAAATACATCAAACAATCTTTTCTTGATATCAAGAAATGTCTGCACGTGTGGTTGGAAAGCAGTGTTTCTGACATGTAATAATCATTATCTTTAAGGTTGTGCGTTGCATAGGAAAGGAAGTAATATATTCTCATCAAATAATTAAATTTTTTCTGAGTGACAAAAAATTTTCTTTCATCGCATTTCACTTATCTGCAACATCTTTGACTATTTGCTCTGCAAGCAAGCAAATGCAGATTTACTCGAATGATATGAATATTTGTTACTATTTAATATTATGTTCAATCATAGAATTAAGCACAGTAAATGTGAACACAAGTTTTATGTATAAAAACTAAAAAACTATTAGAAATAGAAAAATTAGATAATTTTTTCTATTTCCGATATTTTTCACTTATTTTCATAGTTTTTCTCCAAAGTATAAATTATATTTGGGTATGTCTGGGCAAAGACCACATTCACAAATCCACTATTATAAAATTAATGATAATTATATCAATTCTGCTATAAATACTTAATAGTCATTACATTATTGATGTAAAACATGTAGTACCTTTATTAAACAGCAACTTGTATATATATATATA